CCAATATAGAACCCAACATATGATACTTCTCATGATAGAGGCCCCCATGAAGGGACTCTGATTTTTGGAAACCCCCAACTTTGCCTCATTGGCAGGGATGCTGCTGCTTGCTGGTCATGGTAGGGACCTGTGCGACGCTTTCTGACCAGAAGACATTTTTTGCTTGTGACATGCTTTGTGATCCGCCGCGTCATACGCAGATCAAGCTGAAACGCATGCCGGTCTCGGTTGGTGGCTTTGCGTTTACTTTCGTGCGCTTATGGTAGAACCTGGTAGAACCTGAGCCATGCAACCTTCTACGAAGAAGTCAGTGCTGCTACCGGTGTATGGTGAAGCCCAGGGAACATGGACCTCAGGAGCTGCAAGAACTTTAGGGACAGCTGCGCCCGGAAGGCCCCTAAGGCCCCAGGCTCAATTTGGCAGGGCAGCTTCTGGTCTCCAGGGCTTCCCAGCCCCTGGGACGGAGCCCAAGAGTGAGCTTGACCACAATGCCCAGCTATCAATTGTTGCGCCCACAGGCTGCAGCTTCATCGTTTGCCCCTACTTGCCTTTTGTGGTGGAGAGCTGCCTTGCTGTTACGATCACCGCCGTGAAGGCATCAAATAGCAGATCCGGTTGCATTGAGATCTCGGGAACCTGGCAAAGGTCTCATTGGCAGTCGCGTTGCGAGGCACAAGGTCCTGGGATTGGCGTGAAGCTGACGCTGGGCACCGACAGACCATCCGTGCCTGTTCCATTGCAGGGTCTCCATGTGATCACAGTGCACGGCTCTGCCAGCCTCCAAAGGTGTGCTGCCGAGAAGTGGGTGGCGCTTCAGGGGGATGGCCACCAGATCTATCTCTCCGCAGCGCATCAGCTACGACTTGGAAGCACTCTGCTGCTGCAGAGGCCAAGAGAACGAGTCTACGTGCTGCGGAACCCCGAAGAACAACTCAGCCGTCTTCTCGCGCAGCTCTCTGCAGAGAAGGGTATGCAGGTCTTAGCAGCACCTGCATCTGGGGGTGCAGTGGCTGCGATGGCAGCCTGTAAGAGTAGCAGTGGGAAATTGATAATGGATGAGGTGCTTGCTGAAATCGAACAGCGCTTCTCTGTGGTCTTCGTCCCTGAACGAGCTGCGGAGAATATTCCAGCAACAAAGGCCACTGATGCCATCCTCCGCCGCCTTGTGGCTTTCGCTGTGAGACACAGCCTGCGCAGGGACTCCTGGCAGTCCGCAGAGTTTCCCTACCGACTTTTCCAGTCGCAGTCGATGTCCAACGCAGAGATACTTCAGCGGCCATCGCTGCGCGTGCCCTGTGTGGATGTGGGGTGCGACAAGGCCTCATCATCCTGTTCTCAGATTGCCGCGGAGCTTCGCTTCTCAGCTGCCGTGAGGCTGGTGCAGCCGTTGGCTCCTTTCTTAGCTCGCTCGGCTCGGTCACCAGAACTGGCTGGGAGCTTCTGCCTGCAGGGCAGTGAGGCGATCAAGCGGCCTCCCATCCATGTCTTGCCTCGCCTAACAGCAGCGCAAATTACGCACATTTGGCAGGATGGGCAGATCCCAAAGGAGCAGCTGCCGCCAGAGCTTCAGGAAGTCAGCGCCTTCAGTGACTATTGGCGTTTGATGCATGGTCATATCCTGCAAGAGGGCAGTCTTGCATCCTTTGCTCGTGTTCAGTTTCTTGGAGGTGATCAAAGCGGCGAGTGTGGCTTGGTGCTGACCTATCCAGTTTCCTGCCTTTGGCGGACCTTTTGGTCACCTCAGCCAGCTTTGAGCCGACAGCATGGTGCGGCAATTGTCAAGCAGATCTTGCAAAGCTTGAGCCAGAACGCGAGCTTTGGTACCTGGCATCTGCAGTGCGGCGGCTCAGACGTCACTGAGGCAATTCCTGTGCAGTTGTCACTGAACCGCCCCGTTGTTCAGCAGGATGTCGAGGCCAAGGTGGCCAAGCCAGTTGAGACGGGCGAGCGCTTGGGGTGCGCGCCATCTGCTCGTAAGACTGGCCGCACCGGCAAGCGCCGCCTGATTCTGCCTTTGGTGCAGCCCACGTTCTGTGCCGCTATCGCTGAAGCTGGACCTGCCAAGCGCCACTGTGTGCGATGAATGTGAGATGGCCAGCCAGCGTGCCAAGTACGAATTCAATCCATGGGGGGTTTCAACAAGCTGCCAAGTGCTTTCTTGAAGTCTGCCTGAGCAGAGCTGCTGGATGTTGCTGCCCCTAGGTATATGGTAGTTTCCCAA